TGGGCTATAGTTCATGAGGTAGCAAAGAGCCAGACAGGACTTAGTGACTAAACAACAAAATGAAGTGCAAGTTCATCAAGACAATAGTTCTTCTTTTTTTCAGGGTTTACTATAAAGCAAGCACTATGTCAAATAACTTGCATGCATTCTCATGAATATTTGTGGTTTGTCTTACTTGGAAAGATGAGTAAACGGAGGTGTAGAGAGGTAAGTAACTTGCCCAAGTTGGCCCAAGATGACAGTGAGTAGGTGGCAAAGCTTAAGATTTAGATGTTAGGCTCACTGACAAACCAGTGGTAACTGACCCATGAAAGTATGAGACCTTCTACCCGTTTATTGGAAATGACAGAGAGGATGAGGAACAGAACTCTGGATAATAAGAATATTTTAGGAGTAAGCTGAGGAAAAAGAACCCTCTATGAAAGCCAAGAAGAAGCAGTCAGAGAAACAGAGAACCAGGAGATATCTCAAAAAGAGAGTGCTCAATACTGTCAGTTACGGCAAAGACATTTAGCAAGTGAAGGTCTGAGAGTGCATTTGCCAACGTGCAGGTCCCCATTGTCTTTAGTGGCACATGCAAAGTCAGTGTCCAGTGATCTGAAGAATATACGGCTCCAGTGAAACCACACTAGGTCCCGTGTGAATATATTGGGCCTCCCAAACTGTAACAGAATGAACCTATTACCAGCTCACTACCTGGAAACATGTTTTTAGTCCTACTTTCTTTGATTATTGCAAAATCCCCAAATAATCCAATAGGGCTATTGGATGGAGGTGGGGTGCGTAGAAGGCATTCACCCATGCATTTCGGAAAAATGTTCCTAAAATGCCACTTATGATAAGAACCAGAAGTGGGAGGGCAAAAGAAAGTTTTTTCCAAGTCTGGCATAAGTCATCTCAGAAACACTAAAGTATGGGAACGCTGCAGAATCTCTCTTGCATTTTACTCTTTCCCCCTGTTTGTTGTTGTTGTTGTTGTTGTTGTGAATGAATACATATACTAGAATGTCAACCACGAGGAGGAAAGCATTTCCACCCCTACAGCATGTTATTTGCATGAGGGTGGTATTGTCTTGCTTACATGTCATGGAACCTGTGACCTGTCACACATGATTATCATGTCAGCTTATGAACTTGTCAGAGACTGCAACTCCTGGCTTCCACCTCAGAGGGGAAACTGCTTAGGATCGGGGTGGGGGGCAGCGGGCATTCTGCTAGCCAGATGAGGCAGAGTTCTGCCAGCCCCCAGTGCCAGGGAACCCCTGGGCAATAATCAATACCAAACCTAACTATGAATAGGACCACACAAGGGCACATGGCTGGGAACCAAACCTCCTTCCTACCTTGGTCTGATCTCTTGGCAAGTTTCCTTACTAGTCCCAGATTTCCTCCCACTTACTTGGGGAGGAATCTAGAAACAGGAGTTATTTTTAAAAGGTTAGGGCAGGAGGAAGGATTGGAAAGCCACTCTCAGATACTGGAGCAGTCATGAGGAAGAGGGTTCCGGTTAATTACACAATCCAGAGCTTCGCATTTTAATAATCGCTGATGGATGGATGGAAGTCAAGACAAAAGCCAAGGAAAGATCTACACATGTTTGGAGACTTTGAATTAGAAACGCTGTTTTCTAACTCTTCCCCAAAGGAAGTCACATGGGGAAAACAAAGTAGTGATTAGGGAACTATACAGGCCACAGCCTTCTCTGAGGCCTTCTAAGTTCCCAGGCAAAGCCTGCCGCCTACTTGGGAGATGAGCATGTGCTCAGAGCCACGCTTCTCTTCTGACATCTTTCTGCCAGATGGTTGTTCTCGAATTCTAGAGGTGCTTGGCCCTTCTGGTTCCTGCAACCTGAGCCCAGAGAACTTTGATCCACCAATTTTCCCCTCCCTCTACCCCCCTGATGAGCAGGACTTGGCGCCTAGAGGAAAGGAGAGGCCAGGTGCAGAGACCCTTGGTGCTCTGAAAAGGAGTTCCCTTGCCTGCCTCTGTGTGTTCGAGGTATTGCATCCCCACTGACTCCAGGGCTGACTCTGAGGGTTCCAGGCCAGCCATCTCCCGCCTGGCCAGCTGGCAGCAGGAATGGACACCTTTCACCATTTACCCATTTACCGGGTGAATGAGCTCCTTGCTCACAAATTTCCCTGTAGAGTTATCCCGATGGCTTTTCATGACAATCCAGAATCTCAATACATTACAAATGTTCTGTGTAAACATAATAAGGGTGTGGATCCAACCCACTAGTAATTGTTAATAGAAAAAAGAAAAAAAAGGCAAAAAACCCCACAAAGACCTAAACAAACAAAGATCAGTTCTACAGGATCTGTGCCAGGAGGATTTGCTTTCTTGGGGACCTTCCTAGAGGGTCCTGCCAATTCACCCTGCTGCCCTAGATCCCTGCGGTGAGAAATTCTGGGACTTGGTCTCTGCTCTTGAGGCCTATAGATACCCTGGAAGGAGCTGCCTTCTGGAGCAGTGAGGAGTCCCCGGGTCCTTTCCCACAGGATTTCAAAAAAGCATGCCTGACTGCAAGAGGTGGGGGTGGGGTGCCGCCTGCCTTCAAACCCGGTCCCACCCTGGCATCTCCCTTCCCTTGCACACCCAGGGAGTCTGACCCTTAGTTCCAACTTCTGGGCTTCAAGGACACTCTGCCTACCTTCTTCACCTCAAGTAGCCCTCAAATGCTAACCCAATTCCTGGACCGGGCCTCCCAGGCCTCAGGACTTAAGCGCAGAGCAGACAGCCCCGATGCGGCAGCCGGACCATCCCGGCACAGTCTGCTGGTATTTGGGCTCTCGGTCCAGAAGACATTTTGGGGAAATATTGCACATAGAAATGTACATATACATATGTATAAATTACATATTTGGTCAACAAATGTTAAGCAAATGTGTCTGGTGTTTCGTTGAAATTGTTAGCATCGTGGCATTTGGCAAGATCGGTTGATATTATCCCAAGTGGATGATATTAGAGAGCACCTGGCTTCTCTGGAAAACACGGCGGAACAGTACTGGAGACGTTCAGTTACGTTTCCAACTGTTCATCTCTTCCCAGTCGATCGCTACCTCTCGGTCACCAAGCAGGCAGACGGCACACTCTGGACAAGGCAACTTTCTCCGAAGCTCAATCTCCTCTCAAATGACGGAGATCAGTGGGTCTTCGGGGGAAGTGGCAAGTCCTGTGGGGTGTCAGAAGCCTCTGGTTCCTTATCCAGACGTTTGTCACAAAGCGCAGTTCGGTCGGTATCAAGGACGAGAAGAAATAGTAAAATAGAACTGTGTAATGAGGGTGGGGGAGGAGGGAAAGGCTAGGGCCTGTTCCAATTCTGGGAAGATTCGAGGAGGCTGACTCGGCTGCAGGGACAAACCCAGCGGCTCCTCGCAGTGCGTGGAAAGAAGGGAGAAACAGCCCCTCGGCCCTTTCACACAAGCGCGTGCAGCCGGACACTGGGTGAAAAGCTCTCTATGAGATAAAGTCGCGTCTGTTCCAGCCGGTGGCACGGACACACGTGGCGCTCGGCTTCGGCGCGCGCAAACAGCGGGTTTGGAAATCTTCGCGCAAGGCACCCGCCTCCAACGCTCCCACTCCTGCGGGCCCACCCGGGAGCTCGTCCGTCTCCCACCAGCCTCCCGCTAGCCCTGCCGCACAGCTCGCCCCGGCCCAGACGCGGACAGATGTTTAGACTTGGAGCCGCGACCACTGGGGAGACGGAGCGACGGGCTCGGCGCAGTGCGCGACGCTGGCGGGGCTCTGGGGCTCCCGGTCGGGGGTGCGAGCTGGCGGGTGCGGGGGAGGGGGGGGAGGGGGTAGGAGGGCGAAGGGATGGAAAGAGGAGGGGGGAGTGGGTGGACTAATGATGAAAAAGTCTTCTCCATCCCGGCTCCTTAATTAAATGCATGGAAAGAACCGAGGCGAGCACATCTGGTTTCAATCTGCAGCCCTTTGATGGCATCAAATGTTCTTTTCCTAGATCAGGGCTGGAAGTTCTGGGCTAACTATGGCCGTTTGGAGCTCAGAAACCATTTACACACACCCGGACCCTTCTTTCTCTCCAGTCCAGCCTCTGGGCTATAGCAGAAAAAGTTTAGTTATCAAGCGAGTGGGGGAAATGTGTGTGTTTAAAGAACATAAAACGCCACAAATAAGCACTTAATATTTTACTTACTCGTCATATAGTAACTCATTTCTAATGAGACTATTAAAGCTGTTACTAAATTCCAACAGGTCATGAAAAAATCGCTCAGCACCTCTCTGTCCTCTGTCAAGTTAGGGCTCAGCAGTCGGACGACAAAGGCTTATCCGTAGATTTAGACGCGGGTTCGTCCACCCCTCTCAGTCCTTCCTCCCCTGCCCCCACCCCGCGCCAGCCGGACTGGACCCCGAGCCTCCGCCCGCAGCTGGCTCTAGGAGTGCCCAACTTCCTCCGCATCTGGGCAGCGCGACCCTCTCGGCTTAGCGTCGTAGCCTGGGGAAGCGACCTTGGCCGCACCAAAGAGGTTACGAAATTGGCCAGGGTTGGGGGAAGGGGAGCAATTATGACAAACTCCTAGAGTCCTTTCTTCCGGCTAAATAAATATGTAAATTTCCTACTGCCTGGCCCTGGGATTCCTAGCCGCGCGGAGAGACTCGAATCGATTCAGCGCCTTCTAGATCTGCCCCAACCTGCCTCTAGTCCACCGAAGAAGCGTGGAAGAGCCTTCCATTATGATCGCTCTTGTCATTTTATCACATTATTTAATAGACTGTCTCTGCAGAACCGAATGTAGCCTTGATCTCCTTGCCCTCTCCCTTGCTCTAAGGCGCTCCTTCCACCCCCACCACCCCCAAATTGTTAGAACAGCAGGAAATGTTGTTTAAAAAAAAAAGGCAGAGAGAGAAGAAAATTTGATTGAGACAGTTGTGGATTTTTTCCAACAAATTTCCCCGCAGCTGTTATCAAAACATGCAAATGAGATTTTCCAACAGGATCTTAAATCTGGAGGAGTTAATGCCGAAGCAAAATAATCAGCCCGTTTGAAGTGACTGTGGGTTTCAGTTTGTCTTTTCTCCCCGTGATACTATTGCAGGGGAATGATAATTAGACCTTTACTTTAAAAATCCAAAGGGGCTCTCTTCCTTTCTTTTCCCTCCCTCTTCTCCCCCTCCTCCCTCTCTCCCTCTCTCGCTCCCTCCCTCTCTCTTTCTCTCTTGCTCAGAAGTTGGCAAAGGGGGTTTTCTTAATCAGACTGTTTTCTGGTCCGAGGGAAAGGAGGAAGAAGGAGATTGTGATGGAGAAAGGGGGTCTGTAAACCGTCAGGCACCGCACAAAGGCTTTGCCACGTAATTACAGGCTCCTATTAAATCGAGATCTGCCCTCCCAGGGGTCTCCAATTTTCTTGTATTCCCTACAAAGCCTCCTCTGCATGCCAGTTTGTGCCTTTTGAAGTGCCAGAGAGCTTCTTGATCCAACTGAGAAGGAAAAGGGAGCTCAGCGAGAAGAGGGGGAGAGAGCGAAGGGAACGGGGGAAACCCACCACCACCCTCCTTCGGACTCTTGGAGCCCCCCGCTTTTTTTTCCCCCTCCTTACGAAAAGTAAAGTGAGACTCCTGCTCTCCAATACATCTGCAAGACATCACCCTCTCCTCCTGAAACTTTAGTCACTCCTGAGAATCCACAGGAGTGCAGAGAGGGGGAACACGTTTTTCTTGAAGATGTTTTAAAGCTGGAACAAGCCTTCTTCTGTTGGTGCTTGAACTCTTGCCTGGGAATAACTTTTTTAACCTAAAAAAAAAAAAAAAAACCCACTTTGATTCTTCTCTCCCACCCCTTCTTCTCTCTTCTTCTGTTTGCCTAACTCCCCCGCCCTGCTGGCCTCTCCTTTCCTTTCTCCCCCTTATTATTATTTTTAGTGCGTGCGTGTGGACGCTTTTGGAGAGCTGGAAGGATTTTTTTTTTTTCTCTCTCTCTCTCCTGACTTGAACATAGGGTGACTTTTCATTTTATTTTTTTGGTGTGGATTATCTCTTTGGACCGCGCCGGACTTGGCCTCAGGAAAGCAACCGAGGCTGTCGAAAGCTGCTGGTGCAGAACTCTCTGCTCTTACAGAAGGGGGTCCCCCGCCCTCTTTCCACTTTTTTTTTGTTGTTGTTCTTCCCCTCCTTCTCTCTCTCTCTCTCCCTCTCTCTCTCCACTCCCCCCCTCTCTCTGCCCCACTCGGCTCCTCTCCCCCCTCGCGCCCACAGCGTTTGGTGTTGATTCGAGCGGGAAAGGGGGGTGGGTGGGATCGGAGGGGAAGACCATGACCTCCAGCTACGGGCACGTTCTGGAGCGGCAACCGGCGCTGGGCGGCCGCTTGGACAGCCCGGGCAACCTCGACACCCTGCAGGCGAAAAAGAACTTCTCCGTCAGTCACCTGCTAGACCTGGAGGAAGCGGGGGACATGGTGGCGGCGCAGGCGGACGAGAGCGTGGGCGAGGCGGGCCGGAGCCTACTGGAGTCGCCGGGACTCACCAGCGGCAGCGACACCCCGCAACAGGACAGTGAGTGAGGGGGCGCGTGCCCGCGGGCTGGGTGTGTGTGTGTGTGTGTATCCCGGATCGGGGGCGGGGGCGTCCGGGCTGGGCGGCTGGAGCTCGCCGGGGGCCTGAGGGAGAAAGTCAGGAACGAGGAGAGGTTGGTGGCCGTGGCCAAAGGAAGGGCCGATCACAGCCGCAGGGAAGAGGGCTCCGCGGAGGAACGAGCCCGGGCGGACGCCTGAGGGAGGCTCCGCGGCCCCGGCTGGGGTCAGGGACACTGCCCGCCGCCGACTCTCGCAGAAGCCGGCTGCGCTGCCTCTCCGTCCCGGACGAGCGCGGCTGGCGGCTCTTCCCGCCTGCCGGCCGAAAGGGCTAGGCAGGAAAAGCGTCCCAGATCGGTGCAAACTCGGGGAGCCCGCCCTGTTTGAGAAGACATCGGGTTAAGGATGCTGAGTCGGGTCCGGAGGGCTTCTCCTGGGTGGCGAAAGCGGGTCGGAGGGCGGAAGGGACCGGAACGGCGGAGGGCACCACGTAAAGTAAGCTAGACCCGCGCTGCTTCGGCGGCGCAGCGCGCGCGGGCTCCGAAGGCCGGAGGTGCCAGAGGGGCGGCCCTGGAGCGCCCGGCTCCAACGCCGGATCCGCTCTCTGTCCAGGAATGTATTCGACACCTGCCTAAGGGTTTAAGAACCCCGGTAGAATGAAAGGCCTGAATGACACGGAAAACTCAGACGAAGCAAAGGGAGGGTCCTTTAGTGGTGAAACCCGAGCCGCGGCCCCGCATGGTCCCACACAGGAGAGATGCGCGGCGGAGGCCCGGGCTCCAATGCCAAGCCCGGTGTTACATTGGAAGAACTCTGCCTAATAGCCCTAAGATTTCCAGAAAAGTCCATGTAGAGTCTCCTTTTGGCACTCTCCTTGATTGCTATCGCATCCCCAAGGAACTCTGGCCTTGTTACTAGCTATGCCTTATAAAACGTGACTTCAGGTATATCCATACGTCCTGGAGGAGTCTATAACAGACCTGTCAACTGGCTGATCCCAGGTGAAATGGGGTTGGATATTTCCTCCTCAAGGTTGCAAGAGTCAGAACTTGGCTGGAAGTTTTTGAATGAGGCTAATCCCTTTCCATGCCATTATCTGCTGACTGCTCTTTCGTCTTGGAACTCAGAGGCTGTGGAACCAGGGAACCCACTGGCAATCTATGATTTTCAAATAACAGTGCCAAGGTCAGACTCTTGGAAAACAACATAGCAAAGCAAAGGAGATTTAGAAACAGCTGGAAGCAAGTCCTGTGCAAAGTGGTGGGAGAGCCGCTCTGAAACAGGCCGCAGGGAGAGCCCATCCCTACCGCAGGCCGCCTGCCCGTCGCCCTGCATCCCTGGTCCAGGCCTGGGCTTCCCTCAAAGTATTTTAGCCAGAAGCAAACTAGGGCCCATCCACCCTACTGTGGGCATGGGCAGAGGGTGATGGGGGATCCGACCTGGCCAGACACTAGGGAAAAACAGGAATGAAGACCCAGTGTCCCCAAGTCCTGGATAACAGCTGGGTGCAGAGGTGTCCTTGTTGAGGTTATTGGTGCCTTCTGGGGAGCTGTTCGCTGGCGGCACAGGCAGGGAGTGAGTTAATAGGTGGTGTAGGCACTTGTAGTTCAAGAAAATGCACTGTGAAATAATATTTAAACAGTTTACTAGGGAATTTACCAACTGAGCTATCAGGGAAGCAAAGAGTAGGGAGAATAGTATTCTGAATTTTCATGTGCCTATCACTCAGCTCCACGGCTAATTATTAATCACACAGCATTTACCATTATTCAGAGAAGGCTGGAGCCACAACAGAAATCAAGGTCACGAAGAAACAGCAGCATAGAAAATCAGGGTACATTGAGGGAGACCAGCCAGGGTTGCTTTGCCCCAAGAGCAAGCAGAGGGCTGTGTAAAGCAGGCCCAGGGTAGGTGGCCGGAGCAAGCCCAGGGTCCACACAGGCCGGAACTGGAGGGATGACGGTCGTTCCCGTCTTTTGACTTTATGTGGATGCAAAGAGAGGGGAGTTTGGGTTCACGGTGGCCTCCTAGTGGGTACCCAGCAAGGCCGGGTTGAGGAGACCAGCTGGGAAGCACCCCTAATCTGAGGTGAGGCTGCAGGCTGGCATGGGGAGGCGACTCCTCAGGGATGGCTTCTTCTAGACCCAGGCCTGAGGCTGCGCTGAGCACGTGGCGACTGTGGGGCGCTAGTTCACCAGGGGACAGGCAAAGGGCAGCAGGAGGAGCTGGGGACGGTCTGTCCTGAGGGAAAGGGATGAGACCTGTGGGAACCTGCCCGCTTGATACTTCAGTACATCACAGAGTTTCTAGGAGTAAGGAGCGACCCTGAAAAGGAAACAGATTCTGGGGTAAAGCATGCTTGGAGAAGAGTGTAGACAAACAGTTCCAGCAGGAGGCCACAGAATGCAGTTCCAGGTGATGGGGATATGGACACCTGGGGCTGAGGAAGTAGCCAAAATAACACACACACCCAACCCCCGCCCCTCCACACACACGCACACACACACACGCACACACACACACACGCGCGCGCGCGCACACACACACACACACACACACACACGACATAGGCCTTGCTTTCTGGAGATGACCAGGGCCCATTCTTCTAACAAATGGGTAGTTACTTTTAGAAGGCATGTTTCCTCAACCTCCTTCCCCATCTCTGGGGTGAGAATAAGAGGGTCTGGTAAGTTGAGTGGTACCAAGTGTTCAGGAGGACCTTTGTCCTTAGTCTTGGGCCCCAACCAGGATATGCCAAGGAAGCTGTCACAGCTACCCAGAAGTCAGGACTGGAGCGCTACTAGGCCTTCAGTTTGCCATGGACAGTGAGGCTCAGACTGTGAATCAGAGAAGAGAAGAGTCTCCAGGCAGAGGGCAAGAGCTAGGCTACCAGCTGCAAGGGACAGAGGATGGCACCAAGATCCTGGCTCTTTTTGCAGCGTGCTGTGTGTCTACTCAAGTGAGAAACCATAATCTCCCTTGGAGAGATGGGGAACATCTTTTCTTCTCAGAGCTATGTAGAAACACATCCTCCTTACAGTTTCTAGTCAACTCAAATAAGTAAAACAGACTCTATTTACACTTGCAATGTTAGATTATTAATTTTGCAGATTTTCCAATTACTAAGATGGACCCATCTTAGCAAAGAGGAGCCAAGCACTGTTCAAAGTGAAGGCTTCCCACTGACCTCCCGCAGGCCACACCACAAGTCTGTTTCCCCCCTTTTTACCCATTCCACTTTCCTCTCTGTTGAAGGATTTCTTTCTCCTCTTACTGATATTCCCAACCTAGTAAATTTCTCAAACTCCAGGGTTCAAACACTTTCAGTGATTAAAGAAACGGTTCTTTAACACCGTTAGAAATCCAGTGGCTAATGGGGGAGTGTGGCGTGTGAAGGGTGGGTCGGCGGTACAACAGGAGAGGTCAGGGAGAGGAAAGAGGAACAGGGCATAAAAATAGGCAGACCTACCCCTAGGAGGACGGTGCATCCCGCTGTCATTTCTTAATCTGAACTTCTGCAAACTCTTTAAAAAGCTCCTGCCTTCCACGTTCCCAACCTCTAAATTAGTGAAACCAGATTGTCCTAATAAGACCTTTTGTTGGAAACACATGTAGTCATAAAAAGGTAGACGGAAAGTCAATTAGACACGCGCGCGCACACGCACGCATTCACAAGGCGGTGCTAAGCGTGCCCCGGGAGCAGCTGGGCCCCGGGCCGCTGTGCGAGGCAAATACGGAACAGCGGCGCGGGGAAATCGATTTGTCACAAAGGCAGAGGTGTAAACGCGGCGCGAAGGAATCACCCGCCCAACCCGCCTGCCGCACTCCCGGGGGCCCGTTTCTGCCGGCTCTTCAAGGCCAGGGAAACGCCCTGGAGAGCGCCGGGCGCTTCCCTGCTGGAATTCACTTCGGAACTTCGGTCCCCTCTGGAGTCTGTATTTGCAACACCTATGACACCCTCTTCTGTGGCAGCACCCCGGGGACCTGGAGCCGGTGCCGCCACTCTGAATTTGGGCCTCAATGATCTCGATTCAAGGGGATTCAACGAAATACGCCGTTTTAAGCGTAGCCTGGAAATGTTTTTTTTTTTCTCTTTAGAGGAGGCAGTGAAATCCAGGATCAAGGGAGGTCGCAAAGTCCCCAGGGTCGAATGTCAAGTCCAGAAAAGATGTGGTGAATCCTGTTTATCTTACATGCAGGGGCGAGGGGCTGAATGGCCTCAATATTTCGAAGAAACTGACAGTCTAGTGACTTCCTCCCGCTTTGGAGCGAAGGGCGCCTGGAGTCTGAAGCGTCGGGGAGGTGGGCCTCTAAAATCCGAGGCCCCGGCTGCCAATACTCCCCGAGGCTCCAGATCCCCCAATTTTAGAAGTCAGTGAGTCACTGGCTCCACCGTACATTTCACCGAGGAGGCACTGGCGAGACTCCGGAGCACCTTTCTCTCACCTTGGGCGTCAAGCAACCCTGCTTTTTTGCTTGGCGACCTTAACCTTCTCCCGGCAAGCTCAGTTCAGAACCAGGGGCTTTCGGCGGCAGCAACAGGTCACCCGGGTCCCTGCAGTTCCTTCGTCTTCCCAGGGGCGTCATTTTAGATTTTACGGCACGTGTAAATAAATCATCTCCAAATCAACAAGAGTCACCCTCCCTCCCGCCCCTTGCGAAAAAAACCTCAGCAATTTCAGAGCCAAAATTATGTTCCTACTTCACCGGCTCAGATCCCCTCAGATACGAATTTTGAACGTTGCTCTGGCCAGTAGCCACCTCCGGGAACATTACATTTTTTCACTTTTAAATAACATCTATATATATATTCAACGATGAGGATCTCTAGACCAATTTGATTTTTCCTTTAAAAGATGTGTTTCTTTTACAGTTCCTCTCCCCTATCTTGTTTACCTGCTCCCTCTCTTGGGCACGGCAAACTGTCTAAGCAGACCTCTAGCTCCTGGAGAACCTCAGTCCTTTGCCCGAGCCAGGGCCTCG